GAAGTCGAGGTTGCAGTGAGCCAGGATAGTACCACAGCACTCCACCCTGAGAGACAGAGGGAGACATTGTCTCAAAAAAAAAAAAAGAAAGAAATATGTCTACAGAGACAGAATACAATGTTACCACATTCTTTCAAGCTTAACCCTGTTGCCTAAGTAAATTTGGTATAATATATCCACATTTCTAATGATATTGTGCACTGAACTTTATCATTTATGACAAAGGTCAACTCAATCTGCTAAGAAATCTAAATATAGTTTCCTGATAACCCTTCTGAGCAAACCTTTAAAAGATTAGTAAAAACCTATATAGTTTGATTCTATTTAGTAGAATTTTAGAGACATTTATTCAGTGGCTGGTTTTTTTGGCACCTCCTAAACTACTCCATAGAGAAGTGGCTCTACTGATGGCCTCCAAGCATACGTCCTAGTTTCCTCTGGGGTCATAAGAACTGGCTGACAATTTTAAGTACTTCTGTAAATTTATAAAGGCAAACAAGTCAATTCAATTCAACCCATATTTATTGTTCTATCACATGCAAGCTGAAAGCTAAAGACAATATCAAAACACATAATCTTCCTTGAAATTTAATATCTCAAAACAGTAGTCAAATAACAATGGTAGCAGGAGAGGTGGAATAAAATAAACAAGAAAGTCGTGAATTCCAAAAGCATCTCAGAGAAAGAAACAGCTAACTCCAAATGAGCGGAACAAAGAAAGACTTAATGAAGGTGGTATCATAAAGAAGGATCTTTAAGGGTGAGTAAAACATTGACAGTCAGGGATAAAAAAGAGGACTCCAGGCAGAGGAAATAACAGGAACGAATGCAGAAAAATATGTTCAAAATGTAATGTGGCTCTTTTCTGACCTCTTGTGCACACATCCATTTAACCTCTACCACATTGTATCATGATACAATACTTGCTGCATTTTCCACAAGTGCATAAACAAGGGCTTCGTCTTATTCACTTTTGTACCCTAGCACTTTGTACAATACCATGTACAGTACAGTGGAAGCTTAAGTTTAATAGGTATTAGGGATTGCCATGCATTGTGACCTTGATCACGTCGGGGTCTCCACCTGAGATGTTGACCACCACCTGCGGAGGTCAGTCCTGCAGACCCTGACTCAATGACAGATGAATAAATGCACTCTCACACCATTACAATGATTCAAGTGGGCTAGGAATAGTCGTCAGCTGCTTTCAGAGGGCAGAATGCAGCTAATCAACCAATACTCCCTCCACATACTCCCATTTACTCAGTATCAATTTCATAACAGAGGTTTTAAGTTAACACACTTGTAGTTAACTAACATGGTTAAAAGAGTGGCTTTACGAATGACAAAGGCTTTAGGCTCCAGGGACCCAATGTAAACACTATTAACAGGTAATTCCCCTTTGATCTCTCCCTGAGAGGATCATCCAGCACAAAATTTCCATGAGTAAACAGTTAGAGTAGAAACCAAGGAATGTGGGGTAAACAGATTCAACATGGGAAAGCCTTCTGTTATCCCTATCTCTTCCCTAACGTCATGAACTGGCCATTTTCAGCCTGTCCCAATAAAACCTTTGGCTTTCCAAAAGGTTTGAGACTATAACCTATAATTTTCCGTAATATTTCCCTAATATTTTGCAAGCCACCCCAAGTGAATCTCAACAATGCATCAGGAAATGCTGGATGTTATTTCCAATTATCTCAATTATCAAGGTACTTAATTTGTTCAATCAAGCTATTACTGTAATTAATGATAATCTTGTGCCCTGAATCCTTTTGACATTGTGATCAGTTACCAAGTGGTGTAAGGAAATATAGTCTGTCTTATCCTTTTTTCGCCAAAAAGATGTTCTTAGACTGAGAGTGCCTCGGGTCTAGGTAATCCCAGATCTTCCTATATCCATTGAGTCTGGTGGAGTGGGAGAGAGGGTGTTTCTTGCCTTGAGAAATCCTAGAAAGTTCAGGGATGACAAAAATCACTAAGGAATTCCTCCAAGACCCCTCTAAACCAGAGACTTTTAACCTGTTTCTTTATAGTTAGGCTCTCAGGAGATCCCTGAAATCCCTGAAGTTATCTCATAATCCTTGCATTCATGAGCATATGTGCATTTTTCTGAGGAGATGATATGTGTATTCAATCAGCTTCTCAAAAGGGTCCATAACCCAAAGAAACTTATAACTAAAGCTAGTAAGAAAGATCAAGGAATTCCTAGCCCTATAGGGCTAAGAGTTGTCTCCTATTGTTCATAAAACACTTTAATGCATCCTGATGTTCTATGTCATTTTGGAAACATAAATTATCTCACCATTTTTGCTGATGTCTCCTTGCTTTGGAATGATTTAAGAATTTTTTTCCTTTTACGATGTGTATTTCTTGACTCCCAACTCCATAATTACATTATTGCAAGCTATCTGCTTCCAGACTTAAAATTTGTTGTCTAAAAAATTACTCAGTCTTCTTAACTTTGCTTGTTTATATTGATCTAATCCCACCAACTGCTCAGTTTCCTGGCTAGGGCAAGTCCCATTCCCACTGAGGGTTGGAGTCATGTCTGCAACAAGCAATTGACTCACTGAGGTCCCTGAATCACCTGATGCTCAGTCACAAATAATTATTCAATTCAAATGAGCCATTGAGTAGAACCATACTCTAGACTAGCACTAGAACACATGTCTCCTCATCTAAGCCAAGAACAACAGTGACATAAAATTCAACTCTACCTCCACCCAAAAAAAAAAATTTTTTAGGAAGCTCCTTACCCTCTACATTCACTGAAAATAATGCCCAAAGAAAGTAAATGCCCAGTGTCATGAGGTCCCTCTCTTGCAATGAACTGCTTGAATATTTAATGTTCCCCCAACAAAACCTAAGCTCTTTGATGGCAGAGTTTTTGTCCCTTCCATTAATTGTTTTATCCCAGAGGCTGACGCTATGTTAGTGAACAAAGAGTGAATCTATATTAAATGACGGGCTGGAAAAATGAACCGGCTGAATAAAAAAAAACAATGAATTTGCCTGTGAAAGCCCATGAGAACATAAAGGTGTTTTCCTTCCACATCCTTCAGCTCTATATTCTTTTGCTCCTCTCAGTATCACCCACTTTAACATGCTGGTCTGTCTTGTTGATTATACTTATTGTGCAAATCCACCTAAAGCCCAATATCTTCTCTAAAATCTTCCCTCAACTCAATCTTGCTCTGTTTCCCCATAGTATATGCCTTTACCATTTATTCATCAACATGCAATGACCATATGATGCTTTAAAATCTTATAAACATGAAAGACTCTAAAGAAATATAAGATGGGGCCCCAGGAACTCTCCATCTAGTTCAAGAGAAACAAAAAGTCAGGAAATAATTTAAAAAGTCATATAAAGTACTATCCGATCAAGTGTCAAAATGAGTGATAGAAACAAACAAACATTTCTAGATAGTTACAATTAGATATCATCTCCAACCCTGTCTTCCATTGCTATCCTCACCCCATCTTGTCTCAGTGACAGAAAACAATAATGTTACTACTTCAAATCTAGACCTTTGATCAGTTGGGTGCTCTCCTTGTGTTCTTAATGAATTTTTTTTTAATTCTTCAAATTCAACTCAAGGATGGTCTCCTCTTTTAAGCTTTTCCTGTCCTTTTGCCCCCAACAAAATTCACCACACTCTTTCTTACACCTGTGTATACTCCTATATTTGCATCTACTTGTTGATCTTGTGTTTCTCCTCCTAGTGTTCCCCATTGCTAACAGAGTATCAGAGTAACAAACATTGATTATGCAGATGAATTAAACAGTTAGTTAGAGAGAAGCTTTGAAAAAAAAGCCTCACCATCTCAGTCAATTTTCCATTAATAGACACTCTATAGGTATTTCCGTTTTTGTTTTTTAAAGGTCAGATCTCAAATCCTGATGCAACACAGGCTCATCATGGATAAGGTCTCAGAAACTGATGAACAGACCCCCATCTCCTTCTGCAGTATATCTCAAAAATTCCAGGTGAAGCCCAGGGCTTTATGGTAAAATGTTAAGTAGCACTTAACTTTTCTTCTTGTAAAAGATATCTCAGGAAATTTCCTGTGTTTTGCTTAGGTTACAGTGTCATTTTCCCTGTTTAATATAAAGCAAGCCATTCACCATTTGACCATATTTATTGAAATGTAAAATGTATGTATCCTCTAATACATTACTTCTAAGAATAACACCTACAATAATATTCCCACATGTGTGAAAAAAAGTTTTATAAGAATGGTGCTTGTGACATCTTTGTAATTACAAAATAAAATAGATTAAATGTTCATCAAAAATAAATGTGATATGATACAATGATGTGTAGCCATTAAATAAAATAAACCTATACGTACTAACACATAAAGTTGTCCATTATTTGTTAAATAAGCATAAGTTCCAGAGCAATCTACATAACAGACTTAATTTTTTAAACTACACATGGAGCCCTATATTTTGATGTTTGATTTGTATGTTCTTACTTAGATGATTAAAACAGGTACATCTGAGAAATCGTTTGGGAAGAAGACGGAGGTGAAGAAGCATTCACATTTTTTTATTGTCTGCATCTTTTTTTAATTACATAAGGCATGTCTCCCTGAAACACCTTCTTTTCAAATGGTAGACACTGGGTGATACAATGTCTGCAGCTAATAACCCACCTAATGAAATGTTGGGAAACGAAAGAAACCAAATGATTTAACAGACAGCTAAATCCTGATTGGTCTCTCAGTTTCCAATCTCCTGAACCTGAGTTTAAATTTCTTCTACAAACACATAAAATCATTGGAGGGTAAAATTTTTCACCAGAGTCAACTTGAGAAATCAACTGGACCTTGAGTATTGTACATTGTGCCTCCTGGACACAAAGGTAACATTAATTGACAGCGTTTCAATGAGAACTGTTGTTTTTAAAATATCATTTTTCTCTCAAAAGGAAAAAAAAATACAGTGGAAGATTAACACTGTTTTGTTGTTGTAGGTAGCAATTTGAAACATGAAGACTACCATTCTACTGTTTTGTCTTCTAGGATCAACTCAGTCATTACCAGTAAGTATGTTATGCTTATTTTACATGCCAACCAGCTTCAGCAGCGTCTCTAGTTACAGACCTACCTCTCTCCCGCCCTCCATCAAAACTGCTCTGTTTTGTGACTCATTCCTTCCGAGTGTCCAGTGTTTATTTTCCAAGGCAGAAAATGACAGGCTAATAAGGTATTGGTACATACTTCAATGTACTTACATTTTTTAAATGCATTCACTCCATCGTGGTAAAAGGTCAATTTTTTTGACAGAGCAATAGGCTAGAAATTAGGAGATAAATAAATGTCTTAAGTGGATGTTTATCTTAATTTCCAAAAAGAATTTTTTTTCTTGGCAACTAGTTATTTGCTCATGAATAAAATGGTAAACTATATTTTCTAATTTTTCTACTTGAAAATACTAAATATCTAGATTGTATAAATTCTAAAAAAGGCCACCAAATCATATGATACTAAAGGCATTTGGTATCATAAAATGATCAAAATTTTTGACTTAGAACATTTCTTCACCAATAGTATTCACATGAAAAAATAAAAAAGCACTAGAAGTTGAACACTTACTCCATTATTTTGTAGTCATAGAGATGAATGGTTTGTATCTCTAGGTGGACTTCTCTTTGACTGTTCAAGATGGTTCAAGACCATTAGGAAAAAAATTACAATATACTTGCTATGAAATAACAGAATAAAAGAAAACATTCTTAGCTGAGCCTCAAGCTTGCTCAAAACTTCTGCATCTATCCATACAATCAACAAACATTTATTAAAAACTCTTTATATGGCAGACATTGTGCTCATTGCTAAAGAAACAATAGTGAGAAGGGAAAAAAAAGGCATCATCCTTCATGGTGTTCACAAGGATTATAGACATTAATCAATTTTTTTATTTTTCTAACTTTTCTAATTTTTTATTTTCACTAGTGTCACTTGCTAATTTTTTATTTTATTTTTTACTCAAATGATTTTTTAAAGAAATGTTAAATTATAAATAATAACCGTGATTAGTTATGTGAAGGAAATGAACAGGGTGGAATTATGTTGAGGGAGGATGAAACAAGATATGGTAACCAACCTCCTTCTTACCTCCCAAATGCATCCGTGTGTGAGTGTGTGTGTGTGTGTATGTGTGTGTGTGTGTCCTCCTTGAAAGAAGTTGTCTGTAAAAATTTAATTTTCTAAACAAGGTAAAGTAGAAGGTTAGTTTTTTTATAAAACAAATGGTTCTTTCACTTCACCAAATACATTTACCAAAAGAGTCTTCAAAATACAGTTACTCTGGTATATTTAAATGTCCACATAATTGGTGAAAACTCAAGACAAGCAAAACCTTCCAGGAGCGCAGCTCTCAGGTGAGGTGGGCTGAGGTGGAACGTGCAGGCTACAGCAGATTGCTAATAGACAAGGAGAGCAGCTAGAAAGCCAGTGGGGCAGGTCAGGGGAGGCAACACTGAAACGTCTATTCCTGTAGAAACAATACCAAATGAAACATCAGGACACATAGACAAGCTATTTTTATTATTTGTAAATGAATTGTATGAAGTTATCATAATGGTATAAAGAGTGAATCCATTTGCAAATGTGGACACATACAACAACCTAGCAATTATTTTCAGTAGATCAAAAGTTTAAGGATAGGTACCAAATGGAAAACACGATTAGTAAAAAATAAATAAATAAATAAATAAATATAAGACAAATCAAAGTCACAGAAAGTGAAGACCCTGGAAGAAAACAAGATTTAATTCTTTCAAAAAGTATTTGCTTACTACATGCCAGACAGAGATTTATCTTGGGATGGATCATTGAATAAACCACAGTATTGCTGCCCTTGTGAAATCTATATTTTAGCAAGGAAACAAATGATAAATGGCGAGGAGCTTAAATCAATAGGTCACATGACAGGTTAGGAGATGGTGAGCACTATGAAAAAACAATCCCAGAGCAGGGTAAGATGGAACAGGCTGGTCGTGCACAGTGGAGAAGGGGCAGGCTGCATATTCAAGACAGCAGTCAGGTTTGGCCTCAATAGGCAGAAATTCAAGTAAAAAAGCAGGTGAGAGAGTGAAGCCAATGTCTGGGGAAAGAACATTCCAGACAGAGAGAACAGGTGGAAGTGGGACCCTGAAGGAGGAATGGACTTTACCTGTCCCAGAAACAGCAAAAAGGCTGGATGGCTAGAGCAGAGTGAAGGAGAGGAAACAAGGTGGGAAAGATCAGAGAGCTACTAGGGGCCAGGAGCATGAAGACCCTGTAGACCACTGTAGGGTCTCTGGCTTTTACTCTGAGTGAAATTGACAGTCGTTGGCTAGGCACGATGGCTCACGCCCATAATCCCAACACTTTAGAGCCCAAGGCAGGCAGATCTCTTGAGGTCAGGAGTTCAAGACCAGCCTGACCGCTATGGTGAAACATCATCTCTACTAAAAATACAAAAAATTAGCTGGGCATGGTGGTGTGCGCCTGTAATCTCAGCTACTTGGGAGGCTGAAGCAGGAGAATTGCTTAAACCCAGGAGGCGGAGGTTACAATGAGCCAAGATTGTGCCACTGCACTCCAGCCTGGACAACAGAGCAATACTACATCTCAAAAAAAAGGCAAAGAAAGAAAAAAACTTGGCTGTCATTGAAGGGACTGAGCAGAGGAGTGACAAGATTAGACTATTGTTTTCACAGGGTCACTCTGGCTGCTATGCTAACAATAGATTGTGGAGATTTTTTAAAATACTAATAAAATGTATATATATAGAATCTTAAAGCTGAAAGGAACCTCCTAGAACAGATAATACCAACTTCTCCCTTTTTTTTTTTTTCTTTTGAGGCAGAGTCTCGCTCTGCAACCTCTGCCTCCTGGATTCAAGCAACTCTCCTGCCTCAGCCTCCCGAGCCTCCCGAGTAGCTGGGATTATTGGCATGCAATACCATGCCCGGCTAATTTTTATATTTTTAGTAAAGACAGGATTTCATCATGTTGAGCAGGTTGGTCCTGAACTCCTGACCTCAAGTGATCCACCCACTTTGGCCTCCCAAAGTGCTGGGATTACGGGAGTGAGCCACCACGCCCAGCCCCAACTTCTTTTCTTATAACTAAGGGTGAAAGTCCAACGTAAAACCAAAACTACTCCAGGGTAACTTTAGGTGACTCAAGGGCTGGTGCAGACCCAGAGGGCCACACCCCTGTGCCTTTCAGGATGCTTCCAGGAGCAAAAGCAGACTAAGTCAACCTGCCAGAAGAAAAGTTTTCTTCTTCAGAGACTAAGAGCACTTACAGGGATGCTAGCACTGGCTCTGCTGCTCACCATGTCACGTTGGGCAGGTTCCTGTAAGCATCGGTTGCCTCATCTATTAAACAAAATGATACAACTAGACCGAATGTGTAGGAGGAATATTTTCAGATCTAAAATTCAGTGATTCATAATACACTAATAAAATATCCAGGCCAGGAAGAAAACTGAACTTCTGTTACAAGAGTGATGTGATAGGCATGATAAAAGTGGGAGGCTTCATGAAAAGTTAGTAAGAATGACGGCAGCTTACCTCCAGCCCTGAGAAAAAGCAAATGTGCACAGAGCTAAGGCACAGACTATATATTCATGTCCTGGAAAAATAGAAAGGCAGGTACAGAAATTAAATGGGAGCCAGGAACCACCACAAGAAATCCCATGTGCTCAGGTGCATCCTAGCCTCCTTCCCCCCCACACCATCGCACCTCTCCTGGGCTGCCATTTGTCCGCTCTACAATTGCATGTCCTACCATGCACATAATGTTTCAGGGATAAAACACACAGGGCCTAAAGATGAACATTTTTGCATTGGGGATGACCTGGACATAAATGGATACAAAACCTTAAACACATTCCTGCCTCATCAAATATGTATTTGTTTTCACAAAAGCAGCTCAAACCTGCTTTGGGACTCCCTCCCACAAAGCTGGCTCCGGATCAGGCAACACTACTAAACCAACAGCAGTCAAGTCAGGTAAGAGTCATGTACAAATCAGTAAAGAAAACATGTTAAGACTGGTGGATTTAAAATCAAAATTTACACAAAGACCATACAAGGCTGAACAAGAGAGAGAGGCTTTTCATTTGGGAGTGAGGAAAAGAACCAATATAATTTTCCAAAAATGTGCATAGGGAAAGCAAAGCACTGTAATTCTTTTTTATCTAAATAATAAATTGGTTTAGCAATGAAATCTAGTCAACTTTGAAAAGCAATAGCTACATCTATTTACGAAGCTTGGTCTTCCATGCCCTTGAGATACTATGGTATTTGCCAGCGATAGCAGGGAATCAGAGGTGATCTATAAAAAAATAACTGCAGACTTCCTCATGGTTTTGTTAAGTTTCATTGTTGCTGATGTGTTGATGTGTTGCTGTTCAATCTGTTTCCTCAAAGCATATTTAAATACTTTTGAAAACTGCATTATTTTTGGCTACTAACCTCCCTCCCACCTCAACTCTTCTTCTGCTGTGAAGGACATGACTTACCTACTTCTACACTTTGTGAAGTAGTACAATCAGATAACACTAGAATCTAAAGTCTTCTCTTGAGTCAACAGACGTTACAGAACACTCACTCAAGTCAGGAACCATTCACTCTCCTTAAGGAATCTGTGTCTTATACAATTTGGGAACCCTCTTTAAGAAAAAAAAAAAATTAGATATGTAAAATTAGGTACTGAAATAAATATTTATAATGTGATAAGAAATAAGAGTAAATCACAAACTTTCTTAAGCTGTTAAGTGCCATAAGCTTGAGACATTGTTAGGGCACCTCTCAGGGCCCCAAAAGTGGGCAATGCTAGGAGAAGCCCTGAGGCTTCATCTTTATTTACCTTCATGGTAAATCCACCTCTGGCAGGAGTGTCAATTACATGAGGATATCCACCATTGACAGAGCAATGGAAGCAGACAACCTCTTGTCTCATACATCACTTTCAATGCCCTGCAGGTCTTCCCTTCTTTAAGTCTGATACCATTAACGCAGATGCTTACACTGGGGCAAGATCTGCAACTGGTAAGTAATCTTTGATATCATTTTAATAGCCGTTGTGAAATAAATAAAATGCCTAATGTTACAGTGGAGGGAGCATGCATATGGGTGTGTATATCCACAAATGGAAACACACAAACACACATATTCATGTAAATAAGTTGAAAGACAGGAGAGAAGAGTCCAAGAGAGTTGGACATCATTAAAAGTTTTTCTTAGCAAGAGTCTCTAAACAAATGAATATAATTCTTTCCTTCTCCAGTTTCTCTATCCTCTTCTCCTCCTCTCTCCATTCCTCCACCATACCTTCCTTAATGCCCCTACAGCATCCACACAACCACATAAACACTATCACTAGTATCACCACCAATGACAGAAGCAAACTGGAAGAGATAGAAAGAACTTCAGTGTCTTCTTATCGAATATCTGTATAGATCTTCAGTCTTCTCATAGAATACCTGTATAATCTGTTTGGGAAGAAAAATAAGTTTCTTTCCTGATTTAAAGTGGAATTTTTTCGTGGTCCATTTTAAATATAGTTAATGTTTCAGACAAAATATTTATTCTGAACCTTATCATTTTCATGGGTAACCTAGAGGAGTTAATTTCTTAATTTTAAAAAAGCTATCAGAAAAATTTCAGGAACAACTGTTGTAGCCAAAAAGGAAAAGCAATGATAAAATAAATCGCCTAAGTAATTCTCAAACAGAATAGGTTAAATGCCAACAAAAAACTTTCCAGGGGAAAAGTCAGCAATAGCCCTTGTGGTTGTACTAGCAAACTAATTAAGTCTTTAAATTTCATCTTTGTGTCTAAGTACACATGCAACAGAATGCTATGTATTTACATAGCAAATCCTCCCTTTAAATATATTTTACATTTAGCAAATACATTTTAGATTCCTAAATATTCAAGCTGGGAAAAAATACAATGAAAGTCTTCTTCCTTACCCTACAGTTAAATCCTGCTGCAGGAATGACACCTGGTACCCAGACCCACCCATTGATCCTGGGAGGGTTGAATGTACAACAGCAACTGCAACCACATGTAAGTTGAACTGGACTTTAGTTTTAACATTAGAGAGCATTTTCTCTCACCTGAAAGCCTACAGTAGAAATAGAATTTTTTAAAGCTTCTCAAAAATTTTGCCCAGGTTATTAGCTGATGAATGTTCTACTGAACGTAGAACAGTATTTGGCAAACTGGTTCTTAATGAAAATTCATGAAAACATACTCAGAGCATGAAAACGTACCATGCTCAACCTCTCTAGAATACACTTTTAATGGATAACAGGAAACCTTGAAAAGGTGGGGAAGATTGAAAAGTGAAAACTATATGGGGGGAAATTGAGAGATCCCTGAATTTTTTTCTAGCATATTTTTTCTCTTGAAGACTTTCTGGGTGACCAAGATAATCTCAAAGAAAACTTAAGAGGTGGATAAAGTTTATCTTCAGCAAATCTAATCTTCCTATTTTTGTCCCCTTTTTTTCATTCCCTTTTGAAAGTCCCCAAGGACTTTTCAGTATTTACCACCTCCCACTATCACTTGCTTAAAAAAAAAAACCTGAAAATCCTCTTACACTAAGATACAAATGACATACTTTAGGCATCACCTGCTTTTGAAGTGTGTGCATTTTAACATTGAACAAATTCCAAATTTTTACCTTCTTGAAACTTTTCTAAATAGGTTCCAGAGGGCCTGGGCGCAGTGGCCCATGCTGTAATCCCAGCACTTTGGAAGGTTAAGGAAGGAGGATCACTTGAGCCCAGGCATTTGAGACCAGCCTGGGCAACATGTGAGACTTATCTCTACAAAAAATAAAATATAATAAATAGCCAGGCATGGTGGGGCAAACCTATAGTCTCAGCTACTCAGGAGGCTGAGTTGGGAGGATCACTTGAGCAAGGGAAGTCAAGGCTGCAGTGAGCCACGATTGTGTCACTGCACACCAGCCTGGGTGATGGAGGGGGATTCTGTCTCAAAAAAAAAAAAAAGAAAGAAAGGCTCTGGAGGAAAATACAATAATCCTTTTACAGCTTGACTAAGTTATTTGTAGATAACTTACTCTCCCCAACATGTGACCTCAGCCCGCATCATCCAACATAATGGTCTAATATTTTGTAGAAGTATTTATTATTGTGTAAGTAATATATGCCAATTATAAAGAATTTAGAAAATGTAAATTTTCTAAAATTTACACATAAGCAAAAAACAAAATAAAATTCACTTGAAATCTCATTAGCCACAATCAAACACTGTCAACATTCTAGAGTATGTCCTTCCAGTCTTTTTTCTGTACATATAAGTACATTTTTAAAGGAAATCTTGTTTTGCTATATTTAATGTTTTGTAACATGCTTTTTTCCACAAATATTATTTTGAATAATTTTCATGTTTTAAAATATTCACTTACAATGTTTTTAATGACTGCTCAGTATTCCATGGTATACTAAATTACTTATTATGCAAACCTGGGGGTTTTAAGTCTCTGCTTCTATAAACAACGCTACAGTAAGCATCCCTGTGACCAAGTCTATGACTATTCCAACGGCTATTTCCTTTCTTAGGAATAGAATGAATAGAATTTCTAGGGCCAAAGACACACAAACTATCTTGATAACAAAAAATTTGGTAATAAAAGTGACCCTCAGAAAAAGATTTGAGAAAGATGCATAAAAGGAGACTCTCTGTAACAGGTGATCACAGAATAATCTACATACTGATTGCCCAGCTTCAATCTCCATTGTTGCCCTCCTCTAACCTTGAAGGCAGACTTAATACATCTTCAGGTTCCCCAGAGAGCATCTCCCTAAATCAGGGCATTAGTGGAGCCTGGAGATGTTACAAAAGTTTCAGTATAGAGAGTTTCACACTGTACACTCTCTATGCAATATTATAAATCAATCCCCATTTCCTGTGGGAATTCTTCAATGTCTCTAGGCTGTACTACCACCAAGGGTTCCCATATCTGACCTTCTCCTGGGCACCTGTAGTCCTCCAACCCTGCCTCTCCCTGTGCAGAGTGGCTTACATCTCTGCCACAACCTGGACACCTACTGGTGGCTCACATTTATCAAAGAAAGGTGAACCATGTTGGTGAACTCTACAACCACACAATTTCTGGTCAAATATCAGCTCTACATTCTCTACACTTACTACTTATATGATGTTGACCAAGTTACTTAACTATTCTGTGGCTCATTTTGCTCAAAATTTAAAGTGGGCATCAAAGTAGAACCTTCCTCTACAGCCATGCAAAGATCAAATGAATATATGGAAAACACTTAAAACAATGCCTACCACATAATAAATGTACGATGTGTTAACTGTTAACGATTTCAAATTACTTCTTTATCAACAACTAAGCAAAAAGTCCTCTTTGTTGTTATATTGGTGAACAATTAGATTACCTTTCATTACAGTTTTTGCTTAGACAGCTATGGTTTCCTCTTTTTATCTTTTTGCTCTTTCCACTCCAACTTTCCATTAAAGAAAAAATATCTGTCTCATGTTCTCCTAAATCCAAAATGTACCAACCACTTTCCCATTGCCACCATGAAAGCTAGATGGGTTTTTGTTCTTGTTTTCATGCCCTTTTTTGTCAGTCAGTAAGAACCTGATTGAGAGTAAGGCTTTTTCATAAATGTATGTAATTTTTCCTTGTTGGCATTCCATAGTTCCATAATTGCTGCACCATCTGTCTTGGGAAACAATAGTTAAGAGTCTATTTCATAAGACTTTCAAATCCTCTGGATTAGTAATTATGAAATTAAGAGGCCCATTTTGATGACTTTCCTGACACTTTGAATTTTCTATAGAAATAAGAATAAATTTTTTAAACCTTAGCTTTCTTTGACAAACTTCAGGCCAGTTCTCAGAGTAGCAGAGAGTACTGGAGCATGCCAACACCTCTCTCAAATCTTTTTCATCCTTTGATGAACTAAATTCATAATATTTAGTTAGTTATCAGTGACCCTTGAATTATTTCTTGCCTAGTTCTAAGAGCTATACCAATGCCAAGGGTTCCTGAGCAATATTCTCTATAGTTGCTTTATTTTAACAGCAAAATGTCCAGGCAACTATTTCAAGACTAAATATATAAGCCTCAAGAAATCTTCGCATTTGAAAATAGTCACTGCATTGTTTAATGTGTCTTCTGAGATGCCATAGGAAAGAAATCTGTGCATTTTAACATTATTGTTACTTGAAATAATTTCCAGTTTGGAGATTGCTTGAGACCAATTTTTTTTGTTGTTCATCCAGTTTACTAACTTTTAAATATGGTATGTTGAACTGGTTTCTAAATCTTTCTGGGACTGATATTCTTTTTATAAGTTGGAAAAGTTACAAACTCCCATCGGATCTATGAATTTATATCTCTGATTATAGATAATACATTAGTAATAAATATCTGTTTAACAGATACTATATTCTTTTAAGAAGGTATCAATGGCCAGGCGCGTTGACTCGCACCTGTAATCTCAGCACTTTGGGAGTCTAAGCCAGGCAGATCACAAGGTCAGGAGTTCAAGACCAGCCTGGCCAACATGGAGAAACCTCATCTCTACTAAAAAATTAGCCGGGCGTGGTGGCAGGTGCCTGTAATCCCAGCTACTTAGGAGGCTGAGGCAGGAGAATCGCTTGAACCTGGGAGGCGGAGGATGCAGTGACCCAAGATTGTGCCACTGCACTCCAGCCTGGGCAACAGAGTGAGACTGCATCTCAAAAAAAATGAAGGTATCAATATTTATACCATCTTCCAGATCTTACCTTTGAATGAATTTTTCTCTCTTTCTTTTCAGATGTTACCAATTTTTGTCGCGCACCTTGGGGCCCAGGTAAAATTATGCTTAATATTGTCTTGATTTTAAATCACTTCGGTGTGAAATATTTATTCTTACCTCAATTCACTACATAGTTGTGAGGTTTTTCAATGTATTTTGCATTGTGTGGACACTGATAATCGTAAGAGCTTGCTTTCTGCATAAGCTTTCTTCAATGAACATCTACTTAATGATAGAAAAAAATATATAATTTTTGTATGCAGATGACCTCATATTACTCAAAGAATGAATGTTAGCAGTCACACATCATATGCTGACTTGAGTTTTGTAATATAGATCATAAGGCAGTTTAACATATTATTGGGAAGGCAAAATCTCTATAATCTTTGGAAGTATTTTAAGTTTTTAAGTGATGTTATACATATATTACTACAAACATATTAAAATGTGTCTAACAATTTGTATTTATCATTTTGCTTCTAGGGCACTATCCTAAGCTCAGAGGAATTGGTAAAAAAAAAAAAAAATTAAAATACTATTTCAAATTATTTTCAGTTCTATCACAATGTTTTCTGTCCTCATTTAGTCTCTTTTGAGCATAAATCCTGAATATGATGTGTACTACAATGAACTGAACATTTTTTTAGTTTCTCGCATTTGATTATCCTTGCTTTGTTTGGGGATTTCATTATACTTCTTTAGCTATTTTTCTGTTAATTAACTTAGCTTTGGTTTCCATTTATTGCTATCAGATTCAGTTCTATCCAGAAAGCCAATGCACATTTTTAACTTCATAAGGACTGCAGTCTAGGATTATAAACTGTTGAAACATATGCAAATGTAGAATAATATAAATATTGACTTTTTACAGGAAAGATTAAATTTCTTGACTTGGATTTTTAATTTTTATGGAAAAATATATTTTTTCCAGCATCAGATAGTGCTGAATGAACTCTTTCCTACACACAGAAAAAAACTGGAGGGCTGAACCCTAAATAAAGTTCATATCATCATTGATAGACACTTTTTTTTTAGACGGAGTCTCACTCTGTCACCAGGCTGGAGTGCAGTGGCGCGATCTTGTTTCACTGCAACCTCCACCTCCCAGGTTCAAGCAATTCTTTTGCCTCAGCCTCCTGAGTAGCTGGGACTACAGGCACGTGCCACCATGCCCAGCTAATTTTTGTATTTTTAGTAGAGACAGGGTTTTACTATGTTGGCCAGGATGGTCTCAATCTCTTGATCTCTTCATCCAGCCACCTTGGCCTCCCAAAGTGCTGGGATTACAGGCATGAGCCACTGCACCTGGCCTGCTTAGACACTTCTATGCATTCCTCCATAGGTCCTTTTTTAGAGAAAAGGACTTGAATTAATATGATACCTAAACATGACAACAGAACAGAATTGAGGCAATATTTGGAAACACAGTTATTCAACAGCTTTTCTATTATGCAAAATGTAGATATTTTCTATATTGTCCATAAATAATCATCAAATGGGGCTAGTGTCTGCTTTGCCAACATTGATACATGAACATCCATATCCTGCTACTGAGGTTCTTCTATATAACCAGCACTTCAGCAGATCCTTAATATACGTTGCCTCCAACCTTCCCCCAAAGCACAAGGCAGATATTTTTGACCTAGCTGTACAGATAAAGAAACTGAAGTTCAAGAGTTTAAGTAATTAATGCCTCAAAGGCAACAACAAGAAAAGAGTGGATCCAGATCCAAAGCTATTTTTTCATCTAATACACTAGCGGTTTTTCAAACATTTTTAATACAACCCACAATAGCAAGTAGATTTTTCATGCAGCTTAACACACACACACACACACACACACACACACACACACACACACACACACACACTTCATGAAACAGTATTCACCTTTACTATATAGAATGCTATACTAGCCTACTCTCTGTTTTATTGTTTAATGATGACTGTCACCCACCTTTTTTACTTCAAAACTGTGGATATCACAACTCTCAGTTTGAAAACGTCTATACTCTGCTCCTATCTGTCATCCAGCATAAGTCTAATTCTGGTTTCGATATCTCTTAAATGTAACACAGTGTTTCCCAAACTTCATTCCTTGCTCAGGAAATCCAGATGGCATAAAATACTAGTTAAAAAGGCAGTTGCTGGGTCCTGCTCCAGACTTGCTCAATCAGAATCTCTCTAAAAATGAAAAACTCCAATAGAGAGGAGTTCTTTATGTATCCTCAAGGAATACACAATAGCTGAATTGCCAGGATAAATGTTTCTAAATGAATATTCCAAAATGCCTTTCAAAAATACATCAAAAAAAACTTGAAGGGATGAAAGCCATCAGGATTAATTAATCTATTCGAATCAATTTTTCCATTAATTGTTAATCTTATAAATTATATATTTTTTGAAAAAATTTGTTATGGGCAAAAGGAAGATTACATTTTAGGTTAATAACAGAGATAAAGCCCAACATAAAAAAAAAAATGTAAAGGGATGAAAGCCATCAGTATTAATTGATCTACTTGAATCAATTTTTCCATTAATTTTTAATCTCTTAAATTATATTTTTTTGAAAAGAGAATATTATGGGCAAAAGAAATATTACATTTTAGGTTTAATAACAGATATAAAGCCCATCATGATTATATGGATTTTTCCACCTTAATTCTACCTCCAGATCCAGCTGATAATAATAAAAACAATTTATTATTGGCTTGATTCTGGCTTTCCCTTTCTGAGGGAAATGGAGCATATCAAAGAGTACCAATATTGAATCAGGCTTGGCTGGAGTAAGGGAGTATTTCTCCTGAGGAATGCCAGATCTTTGCTGTCTTCTCTGACTTTACTCTCTCCTTCTTGACATTCCTACCCAAACTTGCTCCCCTCAAAAGAGAAATGGCTTTAAAATGTGTTGCTTTTAACTTTGTTTTCTGTTTGCCTCCCTCATTCCAGCCATTGGCCCCACAAATCTTCACAGGCCTTATCATTCATTCCTTGTTCCCGGGAGGCATTCTGCCCACCAGTCAGGCAGGGGCTAATCCAAATGTCCAGGATGGAAGGCTTCCAGCAGGACAAGCAGGTGTAAATCCTGCCATCCAGGGAACTCCAGCAGGCCACCTCCCAACTCCCAGTAGCACAGATGATGACTTTGCAATGACCACCCCTGCAGGCATCCAAAGAAGCACGCATGCCATGGAAGAAACTACCACCGAATCATCAAATGGTAAATTCTGCTAGCTTGGAACATGCTTCTTGGTTATAAAAGTCATCTGCAGATTTAAAAAGAGTAGTTCTTTGTCTTGACAAATGCAGATCTTAATAAGATTAGGAAGCCCTTTTCACTCACAGTTGATTCCAGCAACATGAGGGAGTATTTTTACCTGGCCACCAACCCTACGGTATTAACACTGAAGGAAGAATTTGTGTGAGTGTTTTTGGTTGTTTTGAGACAGGGTCTTGCTCGTTAACAGCCCAGGCTGGGGTGCAGTGGCGTGATCTCGGCTCACTGCAATCTCCACCTATCAGGTTTAAGCGATTCTTGTGCTTCAGCCTCCCAAGTAACTAGGATTACAAGTGCGCGCCACCATACCTGGGTAATTCTTGTGTTTTTAGTATAGACAAGGTTTCACCATGTTGGGCAGGCTGGTGTCAAACTCCTGACCTTAAGTAACCTTAAGTGGGAGGTCCACCTCAGCCTCCCGAAGTCCTGGGATAACACGTGTGAGCCACCACGCCCAGACACACTGACTAATTTTTGTATTATTTGTAGAGACGGGGTTTTGCCATGTTGCCCAGGCTGGTCTAGAACTCCTGGCCTCAAGCAATCCACCCGCCTCAGCCTTCCAAAGTGCTGGGATTACAGGCATGAGCCACCTAGCCTGAAAGGCTTTTAATTGTTGGCATAACACAGCTCCATTTTGGGTCAAAGCTGAAAATGTTTGGAAGCAGACTGTGTTCCTCACCCCAGCACACACACACCTATACACACAGAGGTCTATAGCAGACACACTTCAGTTCGTCATGATCCTGTCTGCACTCACTGACGGAGCCTCAGAATCTTCCTACTGTAATGCTGCAAGCAGCCACTAGTGATAGCTAGCAGAGCAGATAAACCCATCTGCCGGTCTTAGATGGAACTTAAGAAATGTTGCAAAAAACCTTTCTCATATCAACAAGCAAAGTTAATTGTTTAACACGTGAAAATTTCTAGAACCAAATATCCTTAGACATAACTAAAGAATAATTTGATACTAATTCTCCTAATCCTGGAAAAGAAACTTTGATCTCAAGTAAAAATATTTAAGTTCAATATGCTTTTTACCTACATTTAAAAGGTGTTTTATTTTCTTCCAGGAATTCAGTAAGCTGTTTCAAATTTTTTCAGCTAAGCTGCCTCAAATTTGCTGACACATGCGAATCTTTATCATTGATTATATTATGGAATAGATTGAGACTTAGAAGAAATTAATTCTTAATTTACCTGAAAATGTTTCTGAAATTTCAGAAAATATATTCTATGTAGAGAATCTCAACTTTTAAAAGTAATAATTACATGGAGAAATTTGTCTTTGAAATATAACATTATGCTACCTGGATGATACACAGATTAAAACATATTTGGAAAACTGATTCTTTTTCTTCTTTGGAAATGAAAGAAAGCCCTTACAGAAACTGCCTCAGGACACTAACACGATACTCCATGTCTAGAACGTTCTTTGGAAGTAGGAAGCACAGCAGTCAAGGAGAGAACACCCAGCAATGTGAAGACAAATTCCGGTCTCTTCATAGCTACCTCATCATTTACTTTCTCATAAGAGCCACAGACTTAATTTTTAACAAGCAGAGTATTTTTGAACATCTAAAACATACAGTACAAAGAATTATAAATCATATAATTCTGCCTGTCCTCAAGTGTTTATATTCAGAACTCGTGATAATGGCATTTAATGTTTAATTTTGGTATGCTTGAGTGTAAGAAATGACATTGAAAAAAGTAATCATAATCACTAAAACAAACCAACGTGATACTTTTGCTCCATTCACCTAAAAAGTAGAAATTAATCTGATTTAAACTTGTAACACTGACCATTGCAGTTCTTCCATAGTGAGTGGGATTAATGCAAACTGCAGTAGAGCCCCCAAAAAAGAAAGGTATGGATAGGGTTAATAACATGTCTCACTATATACAGCTCAGCTCCATCAATATGTAACAAATGTAAATATGCACCATGAAATATATTCCATGTCCAGTGTGTTAAGTGGTTACAGATTTGCTAGTGGTTAATGATTTATTAGCCACCTTGTTTCAGAAATGCAGAAGCTGAATAACTGACTTATAAACTGTCAAGTTTTAGGGCAAAATGAGGGTAAATTAGTATTCAAACTTCCAAAAATATTTTGCCACTAGTGCTAATAATTAAAAGTGCTATTAAAGGACTTCCTGGATAACCATCTATCAAAAAAAACATTCTTTCAGTTACTCAGGAGGCTGAAGCAGGAAGATCTGTTGAGGCTAGAAGTTTAAAACTAGTCTGGACAACATAGAAAGGCCGTTATGTCTAAAAAAATTTTGAGAAGCTCTCTGGTATGCACCTGCAGTCCCAGCTACTTGAGAGCCTGAGGCAAGAGGATCAATTGAGCCCATGAGTTCAAGATGGCAGAGAGCTATGATTGCACCACTGCACTACAGACTGGACCACAGAGCAAGACTCTGCTTTTAAAATAATTAATTAATTTTTTAATTTTTTTGAGCCTCATTTTTTTTTTTTTTTTTTTGAGACGGAGTTTCGCTGTTGTTGCCCAGACTGGAGTGCAATGGCACGATCTCGGCTCACCGCAACCTCCGCCTCCTGGGTTCAAGCAATTCTCCTGCCTCAGCCTCCCGAGTAGCTGGGACTACAGGCACGCACCATCATGCCCAGCTAATTTTTGTATTTTTAGTAGAGACGAGGTTTCACCTTGTTGACCAGGATGGTCTCGATCTCTTGACCTTGTGATCCACCCGCCTCGGCCTCCCAAAGTGCTGGGATTATAGGCGTGAGCCACCACGCTCGGCCGAGCCTCATTTTTTTAATCTGTAAAAGGGAGGCAAAAATCCCTGTCTTGTCCAGGCACAGTGGCTCACACCTGTAATCCTAACACTTTGGGAAACCAAGGCAGGTGGATCGCTTGAGCCCAGTAGTTTGAGACCAGCCTGGGCAGCATGTTGAAACCCTGTCTCTACAAAATAATAATAATAATAATAATAATAATTAATTATTTAATACAAAAATTAACTGGGCATGGTGGCATGCACCTGGAGTCCCAACTATTCAGGATGCTGAGGTGGGTGGATCACTTGAGCCCAGAAGGTCAAGGCTGCAAAGAGCCGAGATTATGCCATTGCACACCATCACGGGTGACAGAGTGAGACCCTGTCTCAAAAAAAAAAAAAAAAAGATGTCCCACAAAGTTAATATGATCATCAAAGTAAATACACAAGGTGCTTCACAAATTCCAGACCACTAGAGAAATCCATTTTGTTTACTTTCAACGTTCTCCAAACCAATTGCAGCTATCAGTTATTCCAGCATCATACTTCCTCCCTAAACTCCTGCATACATATCCCCATGATACCATTAATATACGAGGTGTGAGATTACCATCTAGACCATCAAAACCAGGTGTCTACCAACTGGGATATGCTACTCCTGGGGGAAGCTGAAGACTTTCTAAGGTGGTCCTAAAGGTTTAATTTCCCTCCTTGACTCTCACATATGTACTATCCTGAGACATATCTGCCTGAGGACATGTTCTCCTTTTTTTTTTCCCATTTCATAGTCACTCTTTTCTCACCTTCAAAAGACAGATCTATGAGGGAATTTCAAAAAGTTCATGGGGAAATGAAATTGAAAGTAGATTGTCAGCCAGGTGTGGTGGCTCATGCCTGTAATCCTAGCACTTTGGGGGGCCAAGGCCAGGAGTTCGAAACCAGCCTGGCCAACATGGTGAAACCCAGTCTCTACTAAAAACACAAAAATTAGCCAGGCGTGTTGGTGCCTGCTTGTAATCACAGCTACTTGGGAGGCTGAGGCATGAGAATCACTTGAACCCCAGGAGGCAGAAGTTGCAGTGAACCGAGATCACGCCACTGCACTCCAGAGCAAGACTTCATTTCAAAAATAAATAAATAAATAAATAAATAAAGTAGATTATAGAATAAAATTTATAGAATGAAAAGAAATACATTATAAAAATATAAACTTCATTGTTCAACATAAGCTCCATCAAGTTCAAGACACTGAATTACAACTAGCTAGGGGGAATAAGTACTAGTGTGCTACACCACTGTAGAATGACTGTAGTTAACAATAATATACAGTTTCAAATAACTAGAAAAAAGTATTGAACATTCTTAACATAAAGAAATGATAAATATTTGAGATTATGGTTACGCTAATTACCCTGATCTGATCTTTATATGTTATGTGTATCAAAACACCACTATGTATTCCATGAATATGCCCTATTATTGTCTGTTAACTTTTAAAATTAAAATTAATTTAAAAAAAAAAAAGATACTTTTGGCCAGGTGCAGTGGCTTACACCTGTAATCCCAGCTTTTTGGGAGGCTGAGGTGGGTGGATCACTTGAGGTCAGGAGTTCGAAATCAGCCTGGCAAAGATGGTGAAATCCCGTCTCTACTAAAAATACAAAAATTAGCTGGGCATGGTGACAGGTGCCTGTAATCCCAGCTATTCAGGAGGCTGAGGTGAAAGAATCACTTGAACCTGGGAGGTGGAGGTTGCAGTGAGCCGAGATCGTGCCTTTGCACTCCAGCCTGGAAGACAAAAAAAAAGGACACTTTGGTAAGCAATGATACCAGCCATTTAGTCCACTCTTAAAGAACTAAGGGTTCTGGGAATTTAACCATGTCAATGAAGTCCTTTTTACATTATTAACTGAAGAAAAATAGGTGCATCTGATCTTAAAGATGTTTTAAGATTAAGAAACAAGTCAGAAGGAGCGAAATCAAGACTATAAGGTGGATGCCTAGTGATTTCCCATCAAACCACACAAAATTGCCCATGTTTGATGAGAGGAATGAGCAGGAGCATTGCCGTGGTGGAGAAAAACTCTCCAGTGAGTTGCCCAGTCTGGAGTGCAATGGCTCGATCCTGGCTCACTGCAACCTCCATCTCCCGGGTTCAAATGATTCTTCTGCCTCAGCCCCCTGAATAGCTAGAATTACAGGTATGCC